ATGCATTCATACCTGAAATATTGATGAATAAGTAGTAGTATATGTAATAATTAAAGTTGTAGCACTTCCTCAAGGTATAGTGGTACTTATACAGTTGTTATGTTCCTCCTTTCGATCTTGTTGTTTCACCTGGTCATGGTATCAGGTTTCCCTGACACAGCTCCCAGTGCAAGTACCAGGAAGTAATGGATTGTTGGTGTGTTACTGTCATCAGGGATCATTATGTTACAAGAAAAACTCAGTCATTGTCGTCCTACGCCATTGTAATAGTAATGATGCATAACCATTAGATGAGCTGTGATTGAGGAAGTATGTGTTGAGAGTCCCACAGCAGGAACATGCAGAAGTGTGACTAGAGAAGGGAGTACATAAAAGTCCAAATGTATGCATAAATCAATACATGCAATGCTCTGACAAAAAGAAGAAGACTACGGTTTTTGTTTGTGTTAATGTCGAAGGCCTGCAATAATCCCTTCCAATAACATTTGGCCAGCATGAAATGCTCATAGGTTGTCATCTGTATGTCTGCTTGTGCACACTCATTGCTCCTGCACTCATTGGGCATAGAGACCTCTGTGAGATAAAGCTATAGAGCAGTCACACATGAATGGAAGAGAATTTCTGTTTGATTCTGATAGTGTTGACAATGCTGCACTGTGCTGCTCTTCCCATCCCTCTCTTGTGGATTTGTCCTCCACTTAACACATATTCTGACACTTAATGGGAATTTAATATTTGAATAAGTAAGTCAATAAGTTCTTCTGGAGCCTTCTTCTCTGGCCTTCGTTGGTGATAAACCGTCAATCCTGCCATCATCTTCTTTAAACTGAAACTGTGAATTTAGAGTTAAAATGCTGCCATTGCTAATATTGTACGGATGTTTTGGTGTAAACATGAACCAAGTCCACTTAAGAGACAGTGAGTCGTACAGTTTCTAGTCATTTGGGTCGCTTTAAAAATCCAGATAATTTATCGTGCTCTTTCTCCAAAGTTCACCTAAACTTAAATGTCCCCTGAGTAAGAAATGATCATGTTAGCATGAGATTTGTGCCAACATGATAATGAGATGAGACATGTTTTACCAAGCATCAATTAATGGTTTTACTTAGTGTATCCTTTATGCCTCTGTATCCCACTTACTGTGAGCCATTAACATTGGCTCTTTAAAAGCCGAGATGGATCATAATGCATCCAGCGTGTGTAAAGAAGAGCGCTCTGAGGAAGATGATGTGTTCACTGTTCACCAGTTTGCACAAGCGGTTTCCTCTCCTTAGGCACAGTTGTCTTAGTCTGTATAACGGCAGGGTAGAGATGCATTAGTGTGTGTGTGTGTGTGTGTGTGTGTGTGTGTGTGTGTGTGTGTGTGTGTGTGTGTGTGTGTGTGTGTGTGTGTGTGTGTGTGTGTGTGTGTGTGTGTGTGTGTGTGTGTGTGTGTGTGTGTGTGTGTGTGTGTGTGTGTGTGTGTGTGTGTGTGTGTGTGTGTGTGTGTGTGTGTGTGTGTGTGTGTGTGTGTGTGTGTGTGTGTGTGTGTGTGTGTGTGTGTGTGTGTGTGTGTGTGTGTGTGTGTGTGTGTGTGTGTGTGTGTGTGTGTGTGTGTGTGTGTGTGTGTGATACTACAGGCAGGAATGACCAAGCATCACGGCATGTGTCCTCACTTGTGACGATGTGTGTTGGGTTGTCATTTTCTCCTCCATTGCTTCGCTTCCTTTGCCTCCTCACTGACTCCATTCAAATTGTGGGAAATCAAAGCAACCACTGCATAGTTTGAATACCTGACCTGTACAGTGCCATGACAAGTGCATGGTTATTATTTTTTTATTCAGGGTTATGCTTTTACGACCCTTTTTTAGAGCAGGTGTATTTTTTGAAAACCAGTATAGGTGGAGATTTTGGTTCAGAACATTTTAATTAGACCCTCTCTGTCTGATAGAGGCTCACATCTTAAGACTGAAGACTTTAAAGTTTTTCTTTATGCCTTAGCTGTAATCTGTTTTTGCAAGAATTTGAACTCATCCATTTCACTCTGAATTACACTGTGTTGAAAACAAGATGCTAATATATCAGATTGAACTTATGTCCTACGCTAGACTGTCCCTGTACTGCTCTGATTTCTGTAAGTTTACCAGCAAGCAGGGTGGGATATTAACTTTATGGTGCAGAAATATGTCAGTCACTGACAGATTAACCAGAAGTGGATAAGAAAAACATGCTTGGGACTATTTATGATTCGTACCAAAATAGGCTGCACAATATGGCAGGCATAGTGTAAAGTGGTTGCATTTTCTCATAGGTTCTTTGGGACAATTTGAATGAACTAAGTGACTTTTTTTTTGTAGTTGTGCCCAAATTGTACTCTATGCACTGATTCCACTCCCCTTGTCCCCCCCTCCAGTCCACATGGTGGCAGTAATGCATCTCTTTGCTGGTGCAAACACTAAAAAAAGAATCCCCATCTTAAATATTTACAAGGAGAACCAGAAAGTCATTACAAATGTGTGAAGGGCTTAGACGAACTGAGAGACTATCAGGGGTTAATTGAAAGTACATTTCAAGCCAGATCCTTGAAATAAGATCTGACAATTTGGTGTTTAGTAAGTCTAGTCCATCAATAATAAAATGTAATATCATAAAGATTTCTTAATTTGTATCCAATTAAAATCTTACCTTATCTATCTATCAATTCATTCAGAATCTTTTATATTGTATCTATTACCACACAAAATGAAGCACAGCTACACAATTTAACGCATCCACTAACTGTCACTGGGATTATTTGGCATGTAATATTATTTTTCCCTTTATGTAAATAAAAAAGCAGAAACAAAGAATGTTATGTCTCTTCCACAAAAGAGGAAATGTGTGCACATGTGCGTGTGCATGTGTCTCATATCATGCATTGCCTATAGGCCTTTGTAACCAATTAGACTGAGAGCTTTGCTTCTGTGCTATAATGAGCTGTAATGTAGCTATGTTTTGTTTTCATGGTATTGGGTTACTCAGAGCTGCAGTTCATTAGAACTCAGGCATCACCACTAACCAGAGATCTTAAACATCCATGACGTGCACTGCTGTATGTGTTTTAATTAACGCCTGCTTGTGTGTGCTTGCAAATGTCTCTGTGTGTGACTGTAGGCTTACATGTGCAGCGGTAAGGAAGTTGCATGCATAAACAATTTTCAGCCGGAACAGCATCTCTTTGCCGTGTGTGTGCCTGAGAGTTGCCCTGAGGGACTGTCTTACTCTCTCTCCTCAACTATAACTCTATTGTTAGCTCTGTCTCTTCCTACACTGGAGATAGAGGGATGGTTGAGAGAAAGAAGTCTAGATTGAATGGCAGAGATGAGATGTGGAGCATCGCCTACTTCTATGCATGACTGCACTGCATGAACAACTCTTGTGTCAGGGGATGGACAGAGGTGTGTGTGTTGTTGCTTTTTAAATATCCATCTGTATGCTATTTTGCATAATGCTCCTCTTTATTGCAGCATTAAAAAAGCTGATAGGAAAAGCAGGTAGAGCTCTGTAACAGAATTCATGTGTCACCTATTTGGTACTCGCACACTCGTAAGAAGCCATTTCTGCCGTTTATTTTGAACTTCTCATGAAGAGTTGGCCCATTAGATAAGTAAAGTGAAGTTATTGTAGTGTCCATACACACTACCCTCGTGCCTCATGGGAACTGAAACGTGAGACTGTCGCTCTTTCTCGGGACAGTTGATCCTTTGTTTTGGTTTTAGGGATGGAGAGGGTGGGGTACGTACCTGAACATGAGAGCCGGAATCTTTGTCAGCCACATGAATTGATATTTTAGCGGGCTACAGACACAAATACTCACTCACAAGGAGACAAACAGTGAGGGGGGGGGGGGGTACTCAGTCTAAAATTGTCAGAGCTTTATTTATAGAGCACTTTCATCTAAAAACAGAGTGCTCTAAAAACAACAAAAAGTGAGGAATATGGTAGAGGTGAAAAGTTTAGGCATATTTATAAATGGAAGTTTAAAAATAACACCAGAACTATAAAGTGTAACTGAAGAAGAGTAGATAATCAAAGTCATAGAGTTAAAGTTTAGCTGCTTGTGGTTTTTTTTTTTGGTTAACTATTAGAGAGCCAAGGTCCAGTTTGTCCCTCCTTTACCTGGCTGGCCCTGGTTCTAGAGTTATCATCAGCCATGTCGGGTTAAAGTCCATAGTGTCATGATGGTGATCACTTCCTCCTTTAGGTGAACACATAAATGGGCAGGGTTTAATGGCATCCTGGTGACTCATGCAGCTAAATCTGGACCACTTTGTAACTGATGGTTGGACATTTTATGACACGTGAGTTTGTGAATATGTATGTAAAATATGAAGCAACAGCCCAGAGACACTTAACCCAGCTTTGATGAACTTAAAGCAGTCTGACACTGATTCATCTGCATACCAGTAACTCATGAACAAACTGTTTTTTTAATCCATACCATTCATTCGTTGCATGCTTCTTGATTTTAATGTCAGACTTGGGATTTAAGGATTGACATTGGCAAGCTGTGACACAAATTTAGTGCTAATCTTTCTGTGAAACCCCATTTCTGATCACCATACTGATCACCATACTGATCGCCCTCCGCTGCCTCTCACAGAGACGGGTCGCAGCATGATGGCTGTAAAAGCCTGATAACATGCTGTAAATTGGACTTAAAGCTCCCTTGGCTAGTGTGGCGTTTTGCATCAGTCTGACTTGAGGGGAGATCTGGGGATCGATGGTGTGTGTGTGTGCGTGTGCGTGCTCAGAACAGACACCCTGCAGGGATGCCTCAGGCGTAGAGCTGCTCCATTGCAAAGAATAATTCTTTCTTCCAAAAGTACATGATGCAACAGAATGTCATCCTGAATAACAGCTTCATGTGTAATGAGGGTGATGATAATGAAGATTTATCAGCTTTTCTTAACGTATTTCCTCTTTATTTCTCTCTTCCCTTTTCCCTTTTGTCCTCTCTTCCTCTTCTCTACTTCCTGCAGAGGAGGCTGATTACTCGACGTTTGGCACCGACTCGCTGACGAGAAAGAAAAACACAGTGCTTTCCGCGGTTCTTCTGCGGCCTGACGCCGCCAGGAAAAAAGCTCCGGTGATCATCAGCCTCCCTCGAGACTTCCGGCCCGTCTCCTCCATCATCGACGTGGACATCCTCCCCGAGACGCACCGACGCGTTCGCCTTTACAAGCACGGCCAGGAAAAACCGCTGGGCTTCTACATCCGTGACGGCTCCAGCGTGCGGGTCACACCACAGGGTCTCGAGAAGGTCCCGGGGATCTTCATCTCCCGCATGGTGCCTGGCGGATTGGCGGAGAGCACTGGTCTCTTGGCGGTCAATGACGAGGTGCTGGAGGTGAACGGTATCGAGGTGGTTGGGAAGTCTCTGGACCAGGTGACGGACATGATGATCGCCAACAGCCACAACCTCATCATCACAGTCAAACCTGCTAACCAGCGAAATAATATTGTTCGTGGTGGTGGAGGAGGAGGAGGAGGAGGAGGAGGAGGGGGGACGGCATCCGGCAGCTCAGGACGCTCGTCAGACAGCGGCGCCAGCTACTACGGATACTCATCACACGGCGGGGTAGGTGCTGCTGCCTCCATGCCAACACACATCATTCAAAACTTTCCTGTTGGGGATCTGGACAGCGATGAGGATGATGAAGATCTGGTGATCGACGCAAGAGGCGAGGCTGAGCCAATCAGACGAGCCGCCTCCAACTACAGCATGCCCTCGCTGCCTCGCTACGAGCCGCACTTAAACCTCCGGGCTGCTACCAGCTCCACTTCCGCCCTCTCCATCAATGCCAACGGGACCCTGCCAGCCAGCGGCAGCAGTGGATCGCTAAGCAACACCAATGCTACTTCGAGTACGCCCTCTCCTGACAGAGCAACAGAGAGGCGGAGTCTGGAGGAAGATGGCACTGTTATAACTCTCTAGACTGGGCATTTACACTTTAAACACTGGGAACCACCTTAATACTACTACACACACTTGTGGGAGTCACAGATCAGAAAACTAGATGAGGGAACATCCTGGACCATCAAACTGAGAAGCACAATGAAATGTGTACATATTTAGCCTAAAAATTGCGCTGAAACCTTTTTTTTTTTTTTTTTTAAACAAACTTACATGTCAAACACTTCACCCTATGCCAATGACCACGAGTGTGCCATAGTGGTGACGCCCCCCTGACCCTGCAGGCGAAAAAAGATTAGTGAAAAAGTATAAAATCCTCCAGAAGCACTTATTTTTACTTTTTACTTCTTAAACTGTAATTATGTGAGCCTCCACTAGAGGGCAGTGATGACAAATAGTATCCCAAACATTTCCACGCATCAGTCCAGTCCCATAAATATATGAAGGTGACGATCATGTGAACAGGTTAATTCCACATCCTATCGTACTCACTCCCTGAAACATTTCATCTCACACATTTTACGACAATCTCTGGTTGTTTTTTGGCCTTATCCTCCCACTCTCTCAGCCCTGCGCCGTACTATGACCACCTCCCTTCCCCGGGTTGACAACAGCAACGTGATTGGTTGCACGGTTGCGGTACTTTAAACTTGATGGAGTGCCACAACGATTGACCAAGTGCTGAGATCTGCAATAATAGTGTAGCTTTTTCTGAGGATAAACCACCTAAGAAACAAGTCTGGGTCCATTTGTGACTCGGATGCTTTTAACCACTGTTGTTAGCTTTTTCCTACTTTTACTTGTGTTAATGACTGATTGATAATGAAAGGTTGATATTTTCCATAATTATTGGGAGCAATATAACCCCCCCTACCACAAAGCCTGCGTTTTATGTTTTGTTTTTTTAACAATGCATATACAGTATAACACAAGTGACTGTATGACCAGTTTCTATTCGACCAATTAGAAGAAGCGATCCATTTTAGAACCCTTCTCCTACCTGGGAGGAAAACAGATTAGTATCAATTCTCTTTTCTTATTTCCTTCACGTTACACTCTCCTGTTCTTTCACTAGTGAGGGCTATCTCTTCTTCTGCACGTGTTCGATTGACAAAATGTGAATGTGATATCGGTTGTTTATTCTCTCCCTCCTTCACTCTGTCTAGACTGTGACTCGACAAACTGCATCTCATCTCAGTGATGTACATTATATTCATCTGTGATTTTCTTTTTCAGCCCTGAGTTCACTTGGATGTGTTCTGAGACATTCACAAATGAAAAGTGTTCTATCCAGTATTTCTGCAACATGTCTCATTTTTTGTATTTCCTTTCTTATTGATTTAAAAAAAAAAAAAACACTGAATGAGAATGTAAAACAACTGTACTCTGAATAACTACTGTATATTGACCTCGGGTCTAAATGGCTGATCAATAGCTGGACTGAAACACTCTAAACACAGAGTTTTAGAGTAATTAAGTGATACATACAGTGATACTTGAGAAACTGCTTGTATGTCAACATAAAGGCCGGTCTGAATGAGGAATATTTAAACAAACACACATGCAGGTACGAATGGATTCACGTTCTGTATTTGATAAAGGTGAGGCAGGTCTGTATGACGTGGCTCTGCACTGTGATACGCATTTCAATTAAATCTTTCTCTATTCTTGAAAGGTCCCCCAACGAGGCTGTCAGGAACTTCCTCTTGCCTAAAACTTGCTCAACTTTTAAAAATGTAAAAAAAAAAAAAAAAAAGTCATTATTTCTTGTCAAAGTTGAACTTTGCATTTTTTTAAATACTGAATTAAAACTCCTGACCCCTTTTGAAGTATTTGATTTTAGACTGTATAAATTACACTGACTGGACTCATAGTGTTTTCAGAATTGGAGTTAATCTGAATCTGAAAACATTTATTATTTTAATGCACCCCTAAATCAAGATTTAACCCAATTAAATTGCTGAGGAAGTTACTCAGCACCTCTTGTATTTCTATAAAAATCATGAATTTGAACATGTATAAGGTTTGTTCTATTTTGCCTTTCACGGTACACTGGATGCTGGTGGGATTCTGTCGTCTTTCATTCCAAACAGTAGGCTGATGACTGGTACTCTGAATGGAAGACTCTTTAGAAATCATTGTTAATTTATTTGTCTTTATTTCTAACTTTACCACAGGACACTGGGATTGTAACCACGGCTACATTGTTATTTATTCTCTAACCATGTATCTACATATTTCTGTCTCCTGTACACATATTATGACTTTATTTTTTATAACGGATGTGTTTTTGTTTATTCATGTTTGCTGATTGGTCACATGTTATTGTCCAATAGGAGATGATCTCTGCAGGTGATTTTACTGTTCTGGCTGAGGCAACAGGAGGATTGGTGCACAACATGACTCTTTAGTTTTTTTTTTACATACTGTGAATTAATCAATATTTGGAATCATATTGTTTTTTGTGGGAGGGAAACAGTTGTATTAGCACGACCTCAACACAAGGCTCCATGTTTTGCTTTGTGTTACTTTTTTTTTTTAATGTGATCTAGCAATGATTTTTGCTTGCCAGATAAAATCTTATGGTATAGATTTGTAATGAAGATTGTCAGTATTTTCATATCGATGATATATATGATGTACATTTTTATCACATTTAATGAAAATGTTACAACTGGAGATGTATGAGTGATTTGTTGTACACCTGTAATTGCTGATTGGAGGACCCTGATAAAATAAACTAATATGTAGCAATTTTTATTGTTTGGTGTCGGTCGATGTCTAGAAAATCTTAAATTTAAAGGTGGTGTTAACTTTAATAAAGTGTGCTCCAGAGAAGTTCAACAGAACAGTTCTTTTTTTAACTAGTGGTGTTGAGACGCCATCTGCTGGACATTTTTGAGACTTTCTATTCGCGAGGGCTTGATTTGCTACATAGGTGAAAACGAGATTTTTGTCCTCAAGCAATTTACAAAAGTAATATTACTTTGCAAAAGTACATAAAGATTCCGGAAAAAAACAAACCACATCAATGTGCAGGAAACAAAATACATTGTGCATCTGAGCTGGTTACAGGTTCCTCCATCTCTAGTCTTACCAACTGTCTAATTTTTAAAAACTTTATATAAGTGTACGTGAGTATGGGGTGCCTTTTCTCATTTTACATTTTTAAATATGAAGATTACCATATAGTATGTTAAAACTTACAATAAGTTCATTGTTATGTATCATGTTTGAAATTCATAATTACATTCAATGAGAATATTATATTAAGTTTTACCCAACATATATTCCATCATCATTTGAGCCATTTAATCTATAGTGTTACAGCAGCAAAGAGCAAAGATTGCAAACAAAAAGTGAACACAGTACAATTTAAATATAAAAAGAAAAATTAAGAATGTACAAAATAATAAATACTAAAAAATAGATAAAAAGAATAAAAAATAGATCAGCTATTTGACAAAAGTGTAGTCCGTAATATTCAGTGTAACACAGACATGCACACAGTGCACATAAAGTGTAACATGTTATTGCACAAAGTGGTTTGATAAACATAATATAACATTAATATAACATTATTTTTTTCACAAATATTTTATGTTGAATTTTTGCATTGCATAATATTCGTTACCTCAGTACTAGCAGGTTTAACCCTCAGTGATGTTAAATTGCAAAAAAAAAAAATGTTGATCAACTCGTGTTCAATTAAGCTTTGGGGTAAATTTGACTGGACAGTAAATACCATAGATGTATGTCCGCCAAGGGCTTCCGTAGGAATCGTCAATACACGATGCATAGGCTATATTTCTGTAAGTTGACGTTTCGGGTCAGGTTGGGACCTACCTGGTTGGGACTAATGTTACCTGTACGACCCCCCACTGTGCTGTAACGTTAACGGTCAACACCCAGACAGCTGAGAGTCACGTGACACGTGACGTGTAACCAGCATGGCGGCGCTGAGCTGAGGTAGCAACTCTTACTGGACTGTCACCGATAGCCTGGCGTTTCGTTAGCTTCCCTCGTCACCTGCCTGTTTGCAGGGCCAGGCCGATGAGGACGGCCTGAGAGAGGAGCGGAAACAAGACCGAGAGATGCAGCAGAAACAACAGCGGCCTCCACAACAACGACAAAACTCACAGCTGACGGCGGAAAACAGCAAAACTAAGAGCATGTTTCTGTCCAGGGCGCTGGAGAAAATCCTGTCGGACAAGGAGGTGAAGAGGAGCCAGCACAACCAGCTGCGCAAAGCCTGCCAGGTGGCGCTTGGTAGGTGGCATTGTGTTGTATAGTAGTTTACCAGACCCTCGTGTTTTATGTTGTGCTTCAGTGAAACATTACGGTCGTGTCTGGATTGTAAAAAGGGGACTGCTCACTTTGCTAGCGTTAGCTTTAGCATCTGAATGGCCTCCATCGTCTGTTTAGATGCTCGTCTGCGTTACAGGTAGCTAACTGTGTGTGTGTGGGGGGGTATCACATTCACACATTGATTTTTATTCTTACTTTACACAATCCTCACGTCTGTCAATGACGGCAGGTAAACAAGCTATCAGGTAGCCGTCCTCAGCTAGTTATGGCTAGGTTAGCATGATAAACAGACCAATCCCTGTGTTGTACGTAGCACTGTCATCCAGCCAGACAGCTCAGTCCTGCTCTGCACCCAGACACACAGGATCCTCTGACGTCCGTGCTTTTCCATTCAACACAATCACGGATAGTGTTACACACACACACACACACACACACATCATCATCAGGTTGATCACTTAAATTCTGGTATTGCTGCTCATATTTAATCTAAAGCAGCCATGACCGTTTGTTATCATCCACCTGGTTGTCATGCTGTTATTTTAACAACTAAATGATTGTCACACAACATCATCTTGTATTGTGAGGCATCAGACAATGAATGGACACTTATTGTATGTGATAAGCTTTTACATGCTCAGTGTCTTTCTCTCTCTTGTAATGTGCTTGAGATGAATGCAGACAGGTAGTGTTTGGTTGTTGGGCTGCAGCAGGATTTAATGCAAGGAGATAAATGTCACTGAGAAGTGGCCAAACAAGTCTGTGTGTGTGTGTGTTTGAGCTGCTTTTGTCTGTCAGCGACACCCTCTCATTATTCATGATACTGATAGAACACAACACCCCCTTTTCCACTTCTCCTCTCACTTAATGGACACTATCTTATGTGTGTCTGTAATGGTGCTTTTGGTCAACATCCCAAAGCTAAATGTCGTGTTTCTCTTTTCAAAGATCAAAGTTGTTACGCTGTGGACTGATCTAGCCCGTGTCATCGGCTGCCTCCATGATTAATCAGGCATGCAGTTGAAGGACACAGTACTTGTCAGGAGCTGTTTTAAAGTAAAAAAATAGAGTTTAGCAAGGCGCTTGGATAAGAAAAAAAAAAATGACTTACACTTTTCTACGTTCAGCTCAAGCCGTAGTTTGAAGAAAGGAACCAAGCTGTCGTTTTTATCATTACTATATCATTACTATTACAGTATTGCGACATTTCTAGGGACATTTCTTTGCACAATCTGATTTCCTCTGTGAGGTTCTGTTATATGGCGGGTTTGTTAGAATTGAGTTCAGTTTGCATTTACTTCCACGATGTGTGTGAAAGTGATCGATCTGGTCGGTCACGTCTGGCTGAGCGCACACCATTAGTCACTGTGTACATAAATATGTAACACTGGGTGGTGTGTGTATAAATAACATTGAACAGATCGATTATGGATATAAAATGATGAGGGAGAAAAAGTATTAAGTAGGACTAATCATCTGAAGGAGAGGGATCAGATAAGACAAATTGTGATGAGACATAGTGAAAGTTGTTGATTAAATCCTGCCCAGTATACAATACTCTATTTCTGTAAGTAGATGACTTGTCTACCAACGACAATGCAAGAAACAAGACAATATATCCTTCTGCTTATATTTGATTTGACTAATAACCATACAGTCAATGTGAAACTGCTGTGAGCTGAAAGGGTCAAAGATCAGACTTGGATAACATTTTATCTATCTCTCCCTTCCCAGATGAGATCAAGGCAGAGCTTGAAAAACAAAAGTAAGTATTGTTATGCACACACCTTCCCTCTGAATGAGTATATGACTGACTGAATGCACAGCAGTAGATTCAGACTTCTTTTCCCCGTTTCCTTGTGATTCGAGGCAGGAAGTTGATGTAAGGTTTTGCCCTGAAGCCGTCAGCAGTAAACCCCAGCTGCTCTCTTTGATTTGTGACTAAAGTGATTTGCTGCTGCTATTACTGCGACGTTAGTATATCAGCAGCACTTCAAGCAGCCTTCAGGTTATACTTCCGCTGCTTCAGGCAAGCTGTTACCTCCACATTAAGGTTAACCGCTCTGTGTGAAAATGTACGGTGTGTAATAATAGAGTCACATCATCTTGTGGAATAATGATTAAGTTTTAATGTGAGTTTTAGTGCATTTATATTAAAAGTGTTTACAGCAAGCTGCTGCAGTCATTTCTTTTTCCAACAGCTGTTTGCTCTCCTTCCCTCGCTGCAGGGATGGCACAGTGGTTCCACCCAGAGCCAACTACATTGAGGCTGACAAATACGTGCTGCCCTTCGAGTTGGCATGTCAGTCAAAATCCCCTCGGATAGTGAGCACCTCCTTGGACTGTCTGCAGGTAAATATTCACAAACACACAAACACACCCACAGTCAAATCTTCCACACGTCTCACTTTCTTTCGCGGGTGTATTCTCCACCTGGTTGTTCAGGGAGATTAAATTGTGCTCCGCCTGTTTCACACGTCTGAGGTACAACTAGAGTAATGTACATATCACTCACATGTATACACACTCTACTCCTTCGTAGTAATCTCTAAGTAGCTTTGCATAGCAGCTTCACACGTGGTCAAATATGTAACGATCCACATGTTACATTCAGGGTAGATTGTGTATTGTCAATCGCCTCATTTTGCCTGTCCCATAGTTCAAATGTCTTATCTCTCATATTTGAATGATGATTTGTAGAGCACCATGTTTATTGAATTCTAAAAGGCCTAATATCATTACAGGTTATTGATATTTATATGTTGTTATTCATGGCAGAACATTGCTCAGATTTTTAACACCATGTTTAATTTGCTTATCATTCAAACTATTATTCTTCACCCTTGAAATGTGATATGTCACGTTACATCTGCTCTTGCTTTGAGACTTGAAGTTATTAAAAACAAGTATTCAATTTAAAAGAGTTTGAAACAGCTGGGCATTTACAGTATCCTCCAGGAAGGCTAATAAAATGCTATGAAGCTGCATTTTGTGAAGCGTAGGATCGAGTATTTCTTGACTCAGCAGCCACGGCCTTGTATTTCAGGACTTTTCTTTCAAATCTGTTTGAGATCTTCAACTTAATACAATTCAAACTAATTGATTGCCAATGTGTCCCTTTAAAACCGTGCTGAATTTGGTTAAAATGAGCACCAAAACATACTTGCACACACTTACATCTGTGCATATAATACACAAGTTACACTCATAGTTTAAACACATCAGGTTTAAAAACAAAAACAGGGAATGCACTTTGCGTTGAATCATCTGCATCCTATCACACAAGATGACCCCTAAAACAACACAGTGCTGCAAACTACTCAGAGAATGACACATCCACTCTTCTTCTGCTGCCCTCACTTTTTCACCGTCTCTCCACTGTAGAAACTGATCGCATACGGCCACATCACTGGCAACGCCCCGGACAGCAGGACACCGGGGAAGCGGCTG